TGCTGGGAACCAAACCCAGGTCCTTTAAAAAAACAATTGCTCTTTAACTGCTGAACCATCTCTCCCACCTACCTACACTCTTTTCACACTAACATGTTGTGGGGGGACCGCGATGGCAAGCTCCTTTGCCTGCTGAACCATCTCACCAGCCTCAGGTGTGTGGTGCAGGGTTTCACTTTGATACCCAGGCCTGGGATTTTAGGTACCACTGGAACTAAGCAAGAAATGCATCCACCTTGAGAATATGGGCTCCCCTGTGAACTGGAGTGACACTGGGTGGATTCTGTTGAATCTTGCTAAAGTGAATTCTGTTTCAGCCAAGCAGATGAGATTTTTTTATACTAGTCAGACATTGTGGCTCATGCCTATAACCCCAGCTTTCAGAGGCTGAGGTGGGAGGATTGGGAGTTTAAGGCCAGCCTAGGCTACATAGAAAATTCTAGGACGGCTTGGATTGCATAGTGAAACCTTGTCTGTAAGATTAAGCATTTCATGGTATGATGTAAGATTTTGGTGGTTTTTGTTTGTTTGTTTGTTTGTTTGGTTGGTTGGTTGGTTTGGTTTGGATTATTGGTGTTGAGGGCCAAAAGAGAATCTCGAGCAGGACCTTGCACAAGCCACCTGCTCTGGCCTGTTCCAACCACAAGATGTTCTTTTTAGATAAGCTGTTCAAAACATGTTTTACAGGATGTTCCTTTACTTCTCGGAATCGGCCTCGGTTGGTCGGTTGCAGGGACATGGGCCAAGGCCAACCTTATTTTTACTTCCTCTTAAATTTTCCATTCCTCCTACCCTCCTACCCCGCCCTGAGCAAAATCCCCTACATATAAGCAAGCTTTACCCTTCAATAAACGAGACCTTGACGAGACACAGACTGACTCTGTCCTTATGCGCTTGGTCTTCTACCCCTCTCGCTCCCATTGATACCTCCTCGTGACCCACCAATTACCTGGCCTGCTGGACGAGTCATATTGGTGGTTAGAATAATAAGGACAGAAGCAAACAGGCACTTGCTGCTTGGGCTGGCTTTGAGCCTTCATTCATCCTATTACCTCTATTTGTATCCATTTTCAGTATTTTGTTTCTTTCTTACAATTGGTTAACTACAGCCAAGTCATTAAATATGTGGGTCTGAAATTGTTCGTGATATTCCTTTGTTGTAGTTGTCCTGACCCTCAGGACATCAACCTAGGGCAAGATGTTCAGGGAGGGGAATGGGGACAAGAGATGCTGAGAGCATGACCACAAGAGAGGATTCTGACCAAGTGGCAAATTTTATTTTTCCCAGGCTAGCTTATATAGTCAGCAGAGCAGGGCAAAGGGGAGGGGAAACAGAAGCCAAGAGCCAGGTGTTAGTTCAAGCAGGATGTCAGAAAACCATAGAAGGAGGATGTTGGCAGAGTGAAAAGTTGATGGGTGGTGGGGTGAGGGAGGGTTGCCTAGGTAACTGAGCCTGTGGTTGGAACAAAGGATTGACTTCAGGGTCATGTTGTTCCTTTTGGGTGCTCATGTTTCTAGAAGCCATATATAATCAGAAGGCAGATCTATAACCGTGTGACATGCCAAGTTTGGCCTAAAGGTTCATGCCAAGCTGTAAGGCTCCCAATACTTTGTGGCCCCTTTAATTTCCATTAGATTATTGTCACTGGGTCTTCTTTTCACAGATTGATAATTTCTAGATTCTCGTTCATCTTTTCAAAGAACAGGCTTTTCCTTTTGTTATTTTCCTGAGTTTAATTTCTCAGGTTCTTGGGATTGTCATGGTTTAAAAGATTCTTTTTGTGGGTTTGAGAGAGATATATTGAGTGCATTGGCCAGGAGAAGGCACTGGCTCCTCTGGAGCCAGAATTTTTTTTTTTTGGGGGGGGGGACTCAAGACAGGGTTTCTCTGGCTTTTGGAGGCTGTCCTGGAATTAGCTCTTGTAGACCAGGCTGGTCTCGAACTCACAGAGATCCACCTGCCTCTGCCTCCTGAGTCCTGGGATTAAAGGCCTGCACCACTAATGCCCAGCTAGGAGCCAGGATTATAATAAGTAGCTGTGCTCCATGCAGTGTGGGTGCTGGGGATTTCCTTGGCCTCTGGAAGAACAGCAAGTGTCTCAGCAACAGAACCACCCCACACCACCTGCTAACCACACCCACCCCATGTAATCTGATACCATATTAAAAAACATACCTGTAAGAGTCGAATTTCGTGGACAGCTGGCTTTGTTCACATTGTCTGATCCCAATATTCCTTGTAGTTTTTCCTCAAGATTCTGCTGTTTAGATATTCCATCCTTCTTTCAGTGCTAAAAGTACATGGGTCTCCTTGCATTTATTTGTTTTCTTATTTTATTTATTTTTTAAGGGGCTTGGGGTTTATTTCAGTTCTGTTCCTATGTGGTGGGGATGCCACAGCTGCAGGAGCTTGAAGGAGCAGGTCATCTTTGAAATGATTGACTTTTACTTATGTTGCAGTGTATGCCGTGCAATAACATACTGTGCCACCAAAGCCTGGCTTCTATTTCTTCTTTACCATCTTTGTTAACTAAGGGTTTTTTGGTTTGGTTTTGATTTTTCAAGACAGGGTTTCTCTGTGTAGCTTTGGAGCCTGTCCTGGAACTCACTCTGTAGACCTGGCCAGCCTCGAACTATGAGATCTGCAGTGCACACAGATCAGAAGAGGGCATCAGATCCCAAGAACTGAAGTTACAGATTGCAGTGACCATGTGCATACTGAGGATTAAATAAACCTGGGTCCTCTGCAAAAACAAAAACATGCTCTTAACCACTGAGCATTTCTCCAGCACCAGTAGTGTTACTTTTATGGATGGTGGTGGTGGTGGTGGTGATAGTTGGGTGTGGGGTACGCATGTGCATGGCAGACATATGGAGGAGTCAGTTCTCAGGTCATGGATCTGCACAACGAGCACTTTCACCCACTGAGCAATCCAGCCAGTTCCTGGTATGATTCTCCCATTATTTAAGCTGGTGGGATCCCTTCCCAAATTCAGATTTTGGGAATTTTTGTGTTTTTTTGTTTGTTTGTTTGTTTTTTTAAACAATGTTCTTCCTTTTTTAAGTTTTTTTTTTCTATTTTTATTTATTATGTATACAATGTTCTGCCTGCATGTATCCCTGCAGGCTGGAAGAGGGCACCAGATCTCATTACAGATGGTTATGAGCCACCATGTGGTTTCTGGGAATTGAACTCAGGACCTTTGGAAGAGCAGTCAGTGCTCTTAATCTCTGAGCCATCTCTCCAGCCCTTTGTTTTGTTTTTCGAGACAGGGTTTCTCTGTGGCTTTGGAGACTGTCCTGGAACTCACTCTTGTAGACCAGGCTGGTCTCGAAGTCACAGAGATCCGCCTGCCTCTGCCTCCCAAGTGCTGGGATTAAAGGCATAAGCCACCAATGCCCGGCCAGATTTTGGGAATTCTTATGAACTCCTTCAGCACTGTTCAGTCAAGTGCCACAGACCCTGAATAGATGTTAAGGTCCAGTTGGATGGCTCAGCAGGTGAAGGTGCTTGCTGCCAAGTCTTGTGACCTCTTGTCCCTGAGACCCACATGGTAGAAGGGCAGAGCTAATTCTTGTAAGCACCCATGCTTACCAGGTTTCCTGATGGTGGCCAGGAAGACGGAGGCTGTGACAATTTTACTGAGAGCACTCAGACTTTTTATACCTTCTTAAGGGTTTATTTTATGCCTGCAGGCCAGGAGAGGGCATCATATCTCATTACAGATGGTTGTGAGCCACCAAGTGGTTGGTGGGAATTGAATTCAGGACCTCTGAGAGCAGCCAAAGCTCTTAACCGCTGCACAGAGCTATCTTTCCAGCCCTTACACTTTTATAAGAAACAAAATATAGTGGCAATTGCCAGGATCAATACAGTTGTAGTTGCCAGGATACTGATGTTTGTAAACCTTACACAAGATCAATGTCTAAGATCTATTGACAAATTTCCTGAAAAGGCTTGGCAGTGTGTGCAGAAGTATTGTCAGTTTTCAATATTTTACAGCAGCGTAAAGTAGAAAAGCAAGTATTTTAATGTTTTATGAGGACTATAAATCCAAAAGATTAATCCAATTTTTATTTTTGTAGTCTTTTTAGCATTTTGTTATTTTTGGCAGAAAGCAAAATATTGTCCATGTAATATATAATAAAAGCAAGAAGAAACAATTATTTTAACTCTTCAAAGCAGTAGCAACAAGCCAGGCTGTGGTGGTGCACACCTTTAATTCCAGCAGAAGCAGGTGGATCTCTGTGAGTTTGAGGCCCTGGACAGCCAGGGCTACACAGAGAAACAGGCTTTTTGACCTAAAGTTGGGCTATTTGTCATTTGTCATTTCTTTTTTCTTGGAGGGGGGCATTTTTCGAGGCAGGGTTTCTCTGTGGCTTATGGAAGCTGTCCTAGAACTAGCTCTTGTAGAGGGCTCAAATCTGCACTATATACATCATTACTTCCACTTGCCAATAAAAGGCTGCTCCTTCTGTGTATCTGCCCTAATTAGCTGTAACTGTCAACTTGACCAGCTTAAGAGTCATCTGAGAGGGAGTCTCAATTGAGGGGTTGCCCAGACCAAACTGGCACGTCGTCTTGTCTGTGAGCAATTGTCTTGATTGTTGATTGAGCAATTGTCTTGATTGTTGATTGTTGATAGAGGAGGGTGCAGCCCACTGTCAGCAACAACATTCCCTGAACAGATGGTCCTGGTCTATATTGAAGAAGAGGGAAAAAAAAGCTAGCCGAGTATAAGCCTTCAAGTGAGCTGACAGTATTCCTCCATAGTTTCTGTCCTAAAATCCTGCTTGATTCTGTGCCCTGGTTTCCCTCCATGATAGACTATAACCTGGAAGTGTAAGCCAAGTAAACTCTACCTCAGTTATTTTTCCATTGCTGTGAAGAGACACCATGACTAAGGCAGCTTATAAAAGAAAGCACTTAATTAAGGCTCTCCTACAGTTTTTCATAGGGTGAGTCCATGGCCATCATTTCAGGGAGCAGAGAGCGTACATCTGATCCACAAGCAGGAAGCAGAGCACACTGGGAATGGCTTGTACTTTAGAAGCCCACCCCCCACCTCCTCCAACAAGGTCATGCCTGAATCCTTCCTAAAAAGTTCCGACATTGAAATATTTGAATCAGTGGGGCATTCTCATTCAAACAACACATTCTTTCTTCACCTAAGTAAGTTGCTTTTGGTCAGAGTCTTTCATCAAAGCAACAGAAATCAAACTAGAACTCTGTTACTTGAAATCACAGTTGCAGTGTGGGAGGAGATGCAGACAGTAGGTCTGATTACCAAGTCCTGAGCTGATTGAAGCATTATCCTCTCAGCCTTGTATCAATGAAGAATATCAGCAGCTGCATTCCCCTGTGTTTCAGGACAAGGTGACCTTTGAGGATGTGGCTGTGAACTTCACTGATGAAGAGTGGGCCTTGCTGGACCCTATGCAGAAGAATCTCTACAGAGACGTGATGCAAGAAACCTACAGGAACCTGACTTCTATAGGTGAGCCTGAAGGCTCGGCTTCACTCGCTGTTGCTTTGTTGAGTGCTGAATCAGAATGAAGATGGGTACAGTCAGCCAAGCTTGGCCCCTTGCACTAAGCATCTAATAATCACTTTGTACTATTGTTTTGTTTTTGGTTTTTTGTTTGTTTGTTTTTGTTTTAATTGTAATGTGTCTATTTTAGAAACAGAATGGGAACAGTGGGATCTGGAAGCTTACTACAGAAGTCTAAAGCAAAATCTCAGGTAATGAATGCCCACAAAGGAACAGCTGTGTCCCTCAAGAGAATCATTGGATGTTGGGAAAATATAAAAAAAGAGCACAAGTTCAGACTTTATTCTTTTAAGAACATTCTTTTAAAAGCAATCTCCCTAAGCTCTGAAAATGAATGTTTGTATGCTGTGGATATTACAGGTTTGCAAAAATACATTATGTAAAAACAGTATTAAGACATTCCAACTGGGGCCAGGCAGTGGTGGTGCACGCCTTTAATCCCAGCACTTGGGAGGCAGAAGGCAGGTGGATCTCTGTGAGTTCAAGACCAGCCTGATCTATAAGAACTAGTTCTAGGACAGCCTCCAAAAACTACCCAAAGAAACCCTGTCTCGAGAAGAGAAAAAAAAGACATTCCCCTGGGACCCGAGCATTCAAATGTGTGAGTCTGAGAGGGCCGTCCTCATTCAAACTACACATGCACATCATTTGAAAAACATAATTAAGGGGGCTGGAGAGGTGTCTCAGCAGTTAAGATTACTGGCTGTTTTCTTCCAGAGGAAAAACAATTCCCAACAATCACATGGCAGCTCACAACTGTCTGTAATTTCAGTCCCAGGGAATCTGATATCTTCATACCAATGCACATAAAGTTAAGTAAATTATTAAAAACATACAATAAAATAATTTTTTAAATTAATAACTAGTGGGCAGTGTGCACTCTGGAGTAACATCAGCTATGCAGAAACTTGGAGTCTGAGAGCTTTGTCATTACACCTCAGAGCTAGTCTCTGTAGGAGATGTCTTCAAACGGCAACCTCAGGCTGTAAACATCTGGAATGAGGAAAAAGTCTGGCTGTGCCTATGTCAGCAATGTACATTCACTCAGGATTTTTATCTCCTTTACACATTCACTCCAGTGCTCCCATGTCTTCCCACACTTTGGGGCATAAACACCTAAATTACCTTGTGAATGTTCCCAATGTGAATCTCATCTACTAATAAGTATAAAATTGTTAATAAGCAAACTTTAATTCTTACAGAATCCAAGTGATAAAGAGAGACCGTGAACTTGCAGACAGTGGCCGACACAGAAAAGCTGTAGCCAAAAATCCAGTTGGTATCACAAACAAAACACTGGAATTAAAGCTTCCTGAACATCACATCAGTCAGTTATCCCCAAAGAGGCATGTTGCATTCAACTCTAAACAAAAATCATGTGACTATCAGAAATATGTAAAGAAATACTGTGAATGTAAAACATGTGGTAAAACCTTTACGTGTCCTAGCTCCCTTAAAAAGCATAAAAAGCTCCACACTGGAGAGAAACCTTACAAATGTTTGCATTGTGAGAAGTCCTTTAGTTATCGATACTGTGCTGAAAGGCATATGCTAACTCACAATGTAGACAGGCATAAATGCAAAGTGTGTGAGGAAACATTTCCTAATGCTGAAGCCCTTCGGGGACATAAAATCATTCACTCTGGAGAGATACCGGAATGTAAGGATTGTGGGAGAATGTTCTGGACTTCCAGTTCCCTCGAGGTACATAAAAGGCTTCATACAACAGAAAAGCTTTATGAATGTAAATACTGCGGGAAGGCCTTCACAAGTTACAGTTCCTTTCAGCTGCACAAAAGGAGTCACACTGGAGAGAAACCTTACGAGTGTGAGCAGTGTGGGAGAGCCTTCCGACATTCCAGCCATGTTCAAGCACATAAGAGAATTCACACTGGAGAGAAACCCTATGAGTGTAAGCAGTGCGGGAAGACCTTTACTTCTGGCCATTGTGCAAGGAGACATTTAGGGACACACAGTGGAGCCTGGCCTTACAAATGTGAGGTGTGTGGAAAAGCTTATCCCTATGTCTATTCGCTTCGAAACCATCAAAAAACCCATACCGAAGAGAAACTTCATGGATGTACACAGTGTGGGAAAGCCTTTAAATATGTCGCTTCCTTACGAAACCATATGACCACTCACACTGGAGAGAAGCCGTATGACTGTAAGGAGTGTGGGAAGGCTTTCAGCTGTTCCAGTTACATGCAGAGTCACATGAGGACACACAACGGGCAGCCCTATAGATGTGAAGAATGTGGTAGGTCGTTCTCGTACTCCAAAAGTCTTCGTAGACACATGACTATACACAGTGGGTGTTGAGTATAAGTAGAAGAGCTCCACACATCCAGGTTAAAAATGAGCCTGTGAGTATAGTATGTGTGGGGAAGCCTGCACTGGTTTCAGTTAGAAGTTTGTACCACAGTTTGGTGTGTCAGTCCTGAGTTGAAAACATTGTTAGGAAGCACTGAGAACTTAATGGAGGTGAATACTACCTGGGAAAGCTTTTTGCCCATCCCTGTCAGCACACACGCGGAGACAGTGGAGAGAAAACATATCACTGTTAGCAGTACGGGGAAAGTCCTCAATAAGTTCTACCACAGACTCAGACTCTAGATGGCGGAATACTTGGATTCTTGCTGTGTTAACATTTCAACCCCCCAAATCTCATAAAACCTGCTGATTTCCAGTGATGTCCAGAAGCCACGATGTGATGGTGTCCTGAGGTCTTTCTCCGGAGCTCGCTGGTAAATGTGTGAGCATACTGTGAGGTGCCAATTCTTTTTTGTTTTTGTTTTGTTTTGTTTTTTTCAAGACAGGGTTTCTCTGTGTATTTGGAGCCTATCCTGGCGCTCGCTCTGGAGACCAGGCTGGCCTCGAACTCAGAGATCCCGTCTACCTCTGCCTCCCGAGTGCTGGGATTAAAGGCGAGCGCCACCAATGCCCTGCGAGTTTCCAATTCTTTTTTTGTTTTGTTGTTTGTTTTTTGTTTTTCAAGACAGGGTTTCTGTTGGTATTTTTGGTTTAGTTATACATGTTTAATCAACAAATTTTAAGTGCCTTTGTGATTAATGGATCAATAAAAAGATGATTTTGTAAATGTCCAGATGTTGTCATAGGTCTCAACTGTCTAGTCTATTCCATGTCTTACCAGCACAAAGTTTACTAAAATAGAACTTTGAATGTATGTCCCATCTGTTATGGGGGAGGGTGCACATGTGAGATCAGATTCCTGCAGAGTCCAGAAGAGGGCATTGGATCCCTTTGAGCTGATCCTATAGGTAATGTTCTTTTGTTTAAGTTAAAAATTAGAAGGCTCAAGGTGGAACACGAACCATAGATAGTACATGAATCATAGAGTTTATTCTGGGGGGGGGGGGATGAGAAGAGACAATGAGGATAAGAGGAAGAGCAGAGAGCAAAGAGGAAGGGGAAGGTAAAAGCATAAATGGGCGGGGTCTGTCTTTTAAAGGGGTCCTTTACACCTGTGTGCAGACTAGCACTCATGGAACCCTAGGCTGATCAGGGTACTGCCTGAGTGAATTACAGGTAACTGGGGCAGGCCAGCATAATACCTGAACCTTTCAGGTGAGTTGAGTCCTCTCTCCAGTCCTCTGTTTCTGGGGAATGTTGTCACTTAGCTGTAATGGTGTCTCAGGTGTGCATCAGTGATTTCAACACTGCCACTGTGCAGAGCTCTGCTCATGGGTGTTGCTTTGACTTTCCTTGCAGGAGCCCTGGACTCAGTTCCCCAGCACTGCAAACATGAGTGATTGGGTTTTACTCAAGCTCAAGAGGTTACCATGTAGTTCAGAGTGAGGTGAATTTTCTTAATGGAATTATGTTGGTGTGGGCATTCCAGAACCAGCCATTCTGGAATCCTCCCCTTGGTGCTTCCCTGGTAGTTTGCTGGCAACTTAACTTGCACAAGATGTGGATGATGGGGTGTGGGGGGGGTGTCAATTTGGGGAGTGGAAGTGTTTCAACAGGTTCATGCTGCCAGTGCCAGCACCATCTTCCAGTGTGTGTGTCTGGGACTGCGCCACAGCATGCATGTAGGGTCACAGTTGGAGGAGTCAGTTCTACCATTTGGGCCCCAGGGATCTGACTGTGGTCCAGCCTGGCCACAAGTGATACTACTGGCTGAGTCATCTCACCAACCCTATTAATGTAGGAGGGAACTTTTGTTGTCTTTTTTTGTTGTTGTTTTTTGTTTGTTTGTTTGTTTGTTTGTTTTACGAGACAGGGTTACTCTGTGTAGCTTTGGAGCCTATCCTGGCACTCGCTCTGGGGACCAGGCTGGCCTCGAACTCACAGAGATCCGCCTGCCTCTGCCTCCTGAGTGCTGGGATTAAAGGCATGCGCCACCAACGCCCGGCTGGAACTTTAGTTATCTTAAGGATTGCAATTTCACCATGATAGTAAGACCTTACAAAAAGTTAAAGACTGCTCTCTTCCAAAATGCACCATCTCATGTGTTGTCAGAGAAGGTGTAAGGAGATGGAGGGAGCTGGACGGATGGCATTGTGGTTTGTGTGTGGTGTGTGTTCACTCACATGTGTGTTAGTGCCCAAGGGTTCTGAAGGTTGACAGTCAGTCAGTCAGTCCCCTGCAGCTGGAATTACAGGCAGCTGTGAGACACTGAAAATGGGTATCAGGAACTAAACTCAGATCTGAGGGAGCATGAAACGCTCTTGACTACTGCTGAGCCATCTCTCCAGCCTTGGAAGCCATATTCCAATGCTAATCTCACCCCCTCGCATGCCAGCACTGTCAAGTCATGAAACAACACAATTCCGGGACTCGGAGCTAGATGGTAACTAGTATTAGCTCTTTTTTTCTTTTCTTTTTTAGATGGATGTCAAATAATACAACTTTAGTGGGCTAGAGAGCTCAGTCAGTAAAACGATTGCCATGCAAATATAAGGACCCGGGTTATTAGAATAAAAACATTTTTATTCACATAAAAGCCAGGTTAGAGTATCCACAGACCTGCATGTAAGCAAGACACCACACATGAAATTTTAAAAGCTGGGTATAGTGGTGCTCACTTGTAATCCCAGCACTGAGGAGGCAGGGACAGAAGGACTAGAATTTTCCATATGACCCAGCAGTGTGTGCCACACATTCCCAAAGGACATCTTATCCTACTACAGAGACAAGCGCACATCCGCTGTCCTATTCTCGAAGGCCAGCAATTGCAGAGTGGGGAGTGAAAATAGGGGATGTATGCACAATAGGATATTAATCGCTGTAAAGGAAAAGGAAATTAATCTGCGGGAACATGGAGGCAATTGGAAAATAGTATTTGAAGCAGTTTAAACTCAGGTTCAGAAACACACATTCTGTCCTATGTGGATTCTAGAGAATTCTTTTAATTTCTTTTTCTGGGAGGTGGATGAGTTTTGCCTACACGTGTGTTCACCGTTGGTGTGCCTGGTACCTGCAGAGGTCAGAATTGGGCAGTGAATCCTCTGGGGCTGGAGTTAGAGGCAATTCTGAGCCACCAAGTGGGTGCAGGGAGTGGAGCCCATGTCATCTGCAAAAGCAGCAATGCACTAACCACTGAACTTCCCACCCCTTCGTATGCAGATTTTTAGCTTGTGGATTGTAGTATATGCATTTCTAAGGATTGTGTTTCTCAGGTATCTGGTGTAGAGTATGAGTACATGGTGTGTGTGTGTCACAGAGATCCACCTTCCTCTGGCTCCTGGCTCCATTTAATTTTTGATACAGGGTCTCCCATGGACCCTGGAGCTCTCTGGTTTGACTAGACAGTGGGTCCCTATGATTCTCCTGTCTCTACCTCTACCTCTCCAGTGCTGATGCTACCAGTGTGTGTGTGCTGGGGATTGAACTCCAGTCTCCAACTTTATGGACAGAGGCTCCCTATGGGATTTTACTGGGAGACTCATTTGCTTGCTTTCTCAGCTAGTGTTTAGTTAGTGAGTACCACTAGATGCTGGCCAGGCTGCAGGAAAACATGACAAGTAAATTCAGGGTAGTCCTTGCTGTGTGTGTGTGTGTGTGTGTGTGTGTGAGAGAGAGAGAGAGAGAGAGAGAGAGAGAGAGAGAGAGAGAGCATAGAGACATTCAAGACTTAAACGAAGCTTTGCAGCAGCAGGGGAAATGGTCTCAACCCCCAAGCAGCTCTACACTAGCCTATTCATTGATTGTTACACAAAAGTTGTTTTTAGAGTAAGTCAAGCTTCTCATACTGGAGCCTCTGATATGATCTATGTGCTGCCTGAAGGAACACATGACCTACAAATGTATCAGTCCTTATTGTGCACTGTTTGAAGTACCCAATAATACAAGAAATCCAGGTTTGCCAGGAATGTCTTGTGTTTAAAGTCATGTGAAGGCCATAAAGCTCCTTTAGAAAAACAGCACAATAAATCTCAGAAAACAACCACTGATCAGATACAAAGATTTCCTCAAGTCAGGGTTTAAGTGTGCCTAAAAGTAATCCCAACACTCAGGTGTTCGTGACAGACAAAATGGCCTTTGCAAATTTTTCCGATATAAAGTGAAGGCCAGAAGACAACTCCAACTCCTGGAGTTTGTGGACTCTATGGGTCCTGGGAATTGAACTGTATCGTGCTTGGCAGTCAGCGCCTTTACGTGCTCGGCTATCTCTGCATCCCTGCTCACACCCCCTGATGCTAGTCAGATCGGAGTCTGTGCTTGGGGGAGGAGGAGGTGCATACTTCCAGAATGGGGTCCATCTGTGATCTGTCAGCAACTCGACCCTGAGCTGTGCCTTCCAAGCTCACCTTCCAGCAGCTCCTTGGCTGCTGTTTAGGAACTCTAAGCGCACAGATGAAGGGACTCTCAACTTTGAATGGCAGCATCCCTGGAAATGCGGGGGCTGCTGCAGAAGAGGACTTAAGAGAGCTGAGGCGGTGGAGGCGCTAGAATACCCGGAAGAGAACCTTTGCAGAGCTCTGGAGAGTCCTCCCGGTACTTGAATGATTGACAGGCAGAGCTCTGGAGAGGAGCTGGCGGAGACGCGCGGGTTCACTCTAATTGCTTGGTGCACAGAACCATGGTAGAGCTCAGCTCTCTGGGTCATCTTCTTTTCTCTTTTTCCTATTTCTTTTTTTCTTCTTTCCCTCCCTCCCTCCCTTCCTTTTCTCAAGGCTGGGGATACGTCTCGGTGGTTCAGAGCACCCGCATTCAATATCTGGGTGACAGCCACATAGTGGAGGGAACCCCACAAAGCTGTCATCTGACCTCCACTCACGCAAAGAAGTAAAAGGACATTTTTAGAAATTAAAACTTCTGAAGAAGCCCTCGGAGTGGGGGACTCTTGTGGCCCCTGCTGCTGGGAGACCATGTGACCCACACGGAAGGAAGGGCTCCTCCTACCTCCGGGTCCGGTCCTCCTCTCCCCACCACTCACCCGTTCTTTTGCCTCCGATGATAGGAACATTTCTCCCCGGATGAAATGTGGGTCATCTTGGGCATTTGCAAGTCCCTACATCACTGAGACACCCAGAGAGAAAAGGGGCATGGGTTGAAGAGACGATGTGGTGGGAGGCGTCCTCCCAATCCCCCTCGCCTTCCCTCTTCAGCTGCATGAAGCTGCTCTTCCTGCATCATCTTCAAGATGGGTCAGACACAAGCAGCGGTTTTGAAACTTCCAGAACATCCTCAAGCTTCTCTGCTCCTACGGCCTGACCTCGCTAAGGTTTATCCTGCACCAATGGAAAGCACTCTGTGAAGTCTCTAAACTGAGTCCCAGAAGACAAGAAAAAAAAAAAAAAAAAAAGACCTTGCCTCAGAGCAAGAGCTAGAACCAAAGGAGACAACTTTATTCAAGAGCATCCAGGATCTGGCTCATGGGTAAAGGCACTTGCTGCTGAGAATTCTGTCCCCGGAACCCACAACAGAAGGCAAAAACTGGGTACAGCAAGCTGTCCTCTAACCTCCACACATGCACCATGACAGGTATGTGCTCCACACATGCACCATGACAGGTATGTATGCACACACACAGAGAATGAGTGATTGGTTGGCTGACTGGTTGACTGCTTGGTCGAGTTTTAAATCTGGAGAGATGACTCGGCTTTAAAAAGGTGAACCATTCTTGAAGAGGACCAG